GTTTGTGTGTGCGCGTGTGTGTAAGTGTTTTTTACTCCCCAATCGAATTGAGATAATATTTTACGATTCGGGCTTCCGACCTTGAATGAAAGTGATACAAGCCAGCCGGAGAAGCAGCGACTATTCTTTAATACAGGAAAAAAATTCGTCGGTGAACGACGACTGGGCTGAGCCAAAACCTCGTTATTTTCAGAACATGAGCTACGTTTTAGACTATTGAGTATTTTTCACGTGAAAGTAAAAGTGTGATGACTCGAAACACCCCAGATTGCGTACTATAAAAAAGTGGTACCTTTTTATCGCCAGCACACACACACACACACACACACACACACACACACACAGAGGCACATACACACACACACACACACACACACGCACACACACACGCACACACACATACACACACATAATATAAATAAATATATATATACATATTATATATATATATATATATATATATATATATATATAACATTTTTGTAAGTGTTTCAAGGCGCTCGCAACTGCATGAGGTCATATGAGTGCGCAGGACACACCAAATATTTTCAGTTGGTAGGACATTTTGAATTTTGCTCTGGTGGCGGCCGAAGCCTACTTTAATTGATTTTGGACCACCAAGGGATCTTACTTAAACATGCGCAACTTGCACACGGGACCTCCGATATTTTTCGCCCTTAATGTCCGAGAAATCTAGGTGTAGATCTTTCCTACCAGAAGATCAGGGGTGTGGCTGAAAGACAGCAGTAAGAAGGAGCCAAGGAGAAGCTGTGGAAAGGCTGCAGAAAGAGTCAGGAGCCCTGAGGAGGGGGCACAGGGGGTGAGGGGGTAGGGGCAGAAAGTGGAGACGAAAACAGATGACAGAATGTTACTAGAGAGCAGGAAAAGGGGTGAAAGGTGACAATTTTGGATACGAACATTTTTCCATCGCTACCCGGATCGAACCCGGGACCTTTGAATGAGAGGCGAACACCTTAATGCCAGGAAAGCCCCTTATAGATAGATAGATAGATAGATAGATAGATAGATAGATAGATAGATAGATAGATAGATAGACAGATAGATAGATAGATACTGATGAGAACATGAAATGTTAAGTCTAGGATTTGCATGGAAGGTCTGTTTTTGAATCTGTTTGAAAATATCACTAGGAGATAAGGTTCATTGGAGAGACAATAAGACCCTCCATTCATATGATAGTCAATACATGTCCTTTCCACCAAAGTCAACATACGTCCGAACACATTTTTACGTTGTTGTTTTTTTAATTAGAGACCAGCACAGTTTGCCAAGTCTAATTTTTTTAAGGTCAATTTTGAGTAACTGTATCTCGAGCGACTCTTAACATGTATACAAATTTAATACTATTGTGTCAGATTATGCAGAATTTATATAGTTTTAAATTGGTATGCTGCATGTGTGTGTAGTGCAAGGCTTTTTCTTTTGGACACCGCTGTATATACAATGTTTATAGGTGTGTATGAGTGCGTATCTTTCTCTGTCTCGCTTCTCTATCTGTCTGTCCCTCTCTTTCTGTAAGCGTGGGCGCGCTGTGTGTGTGTGTATGTATTTGTGTGTGTGTGTGTGTGTGTGTGTGTGTGTGTGTATGTGTGTGTGTGTGTATGTGTGTGTGTCTGTGTGTTTGTGAGAGTGTCTACGCGTGCATTCGTGCATTTTTGTGCAATAAATGATATGAATATTCATATGTATTTCAGAACACCATGCATTCTTACACGTTCTTCGTATTCGCTGTCATCGACGTACTCACGGCTGTGTTTGTGGTGATGTATATTCCTGAGACCAAGAACAAGTCCTTCGCCGAGATCGCCAGCACCTGGACATACGCCCCAGCGACGCAGACGGCGACTCCAGACAGCGACGCGGTTCTGTACCCAAAGGAGATTGTTATTGAGCCAGCTTCAAAAGATGTTCCTGAAATACGTTTTTCGCCGCCTCACTTTAACAGCGTGAAGAGAGATCAGGAATAACTCCATTGCTCGTATGAGACAATATGCTGTTACCTCGAAATGTTTTAAGGCAATGTTTGAAATATGTATGAATTGTGTTATGTTTATGGACAGATTCTTATTTCTCATTGTCACTTTTGAAAAAAGGATCCTTTTTGGAAAAGGTAATAATTTAAAAAATAACCCAAAACAAAAACAAAATAAAAACAATCCTTCCCCACTCAACGTGTCTTCCAAAACGCAACTGCACATTCTCCCACTCCCAGTGCAGTTTAACAGTAGGCCTTGGCCCTTTCTTCAAGGCATAGATTTAACCAAAACGTATTTCCTATCACGTAAACATTAATTGCCCCGTCTTCGAATAAACGTCACGAAAACAGTGTAGTAAGAGTTTTAAGGCACTTGCAACACAATAAGGTCATATAAGTGTCGGAGATTAGAGATGTTTAACAAGAGTAGAAAACACAAAAAAGGAGAAGAGATAAAGACGATAAAGATACACACACACACACACA